ATGGACATTAGGCACTTGACAAAGTGGCGTGATAAAAACGTCCCAGAATTATTTGCCAAACTATTGCTCAACACGGTCCCGGTGAATTAATTTTGATAATTCCAATCAAACGGCACACTGTAAATCACATCATCAGTGTCGACAATATATATTCGCTTAAAACCAAAAAATCAGTAAAATACGACTTGTAATTCTTCTTTCAATTTGATCTGCTGAAACAGACACTGATCCGCTTCCCTCCTTTACTATGTTTTTTAACTCCACTCTCTTCCAGTTCGAGCCCAATCGAATCAACAAATATAAAGAAGCAAGCAACTCCATGAAACAAAAATTTCTCTTTCAAAAATAATCGAAACCTGAGCAAAACCCATAATCCTGGTAATATTGAAATTCAGTAATCTCCAACACCTCTATTTAAATAAAATAAGAAACTGACATTAAAAATAGTTTGGTAATCTGACCTTTGTGAATATCGGTAAATTTAAATCAATCCGAAATTAGAACTCCAGCTTTTTTACGATATTTATGAGATTGTAAAATCCCAACAATTCGGTCTAAAACGTAAGTTGTTGAACCTATTGAAAACCACAAATTAGTCTCTTGGTAATTGCAAAACTAATAATATTAATTAAAGCACCTGTTTCATCTTTTCGATTATTTTTTTACCAGATGAATATCTCAAGAGCCGAGATTCATGTCGAGAGATTCGTTCAGAGAGGCGAGCCAACCATATCAGGTCACCTTCACGTCTGTCATCGTGTACGTCAATTGATACGTTAATCATTGTTTGCACAACATAGTTGCCATACTGATCAAATAGCATTATATCAAGCGCATCACGCCCCTTGCTGGAAATATTTAGATTGGCATCATAAGGCTTCCTATAGATTTAAAGTCATTGGACGACTCGAATCATAGCCAATCTAATTGAAAGATCAATAATTATAAGGGACGATTCGAAGACAGTTTTCCAAAAAAACATAGAATGCATACAATGATGCAATATATACTATATTCAATTGCACACTTATAAAATTTGCTCTTTATGTAAATACAGTAAGACTATTAAGTGCTCAAAAATTCTATTAGTCTGGAGCACTAAATCAGAGAACTAACTCACTCATCCTTGACATAACCATCAAAGATTTCACTCATCAAACAATGCAGTACTTTCGGCGATGCATATTGCAATGACTTTTCTACGACATGAGAAGCGAATTTTTCTTGTGATAGCGTTAACACATTGCTTCTGTAAAGAAAAACAAGATTTCTTAAAATGAAAAGAAAGGAATGCGTAAGAAATAGAAGACCGATCAACTGAATATTTTATAATCCTTGATGTAAAGCGAATCATGACTTCACAATTTCTTTCTTTCTCGTAGAAAGTCTTGTATTCAATTTTTGATTAGTGTTATCACCTCCTTTTTCTACATAAGTGTCTGCAAATCTTGTTATGATATACAAAATGACTAAAGACGTACAGAATAGAATGCTTAATAATGTAATCTCGAGCTTCAGGATGGAATTCCGAAGTAATAACGTGCTGCATGACGTAATTCGCAAATTGATGATCTATAAACTCCATGCAGTTCTCTGTTAGTCGTCGCAATAGTTTATTCAAAAGTCGTCTTGCTGCCTTGAATTCATTTGGAGTATTGGCACAGCGCGTGGTACATGCTGATATTTCAAGTTCCTGAAAAGTTTAACTAAATACATAATAGCCTTAGTATGCATTTGAATTAAATCCAAATTAATTGTACATTCATTTGAATTAAATCTAAAATATTTGTTCCGAAGGAACTTCATGTGGTACTCAGTACATCTAATTCCCATTAAGACCAGGAAAGGTAGGATTTTACCTCCAAAGCAGACTGAATAACGCGGCATCCATATTTGTTTTGAACAACTTGCTTGAAATTCTCTTTCGAAAGTGTAAGCGCTATCACGATAAAGCTATATTTTGTTGGTGGAAAAAGAGCAAACAACTTCTAAAAAACTTTCTTGTACTTGAAATGAATTCTAATTTGATGAGCAAAAAGGCAATACATGTCCTAAAATTGAAATTCCAAACGCACCTGCATAACATGGGTAGCACAACTGTCAACCGCTAGGAAACACTCCGACCCACTGAGCTTATTGAGAAGTTCGACTCTGTACCCGAAATCAAACCTTTCGAAAATACGCTGCATGATCCTGCTTCCATAACGGTTGGAGCACATTTTGACCACTTTATTTGCGACATGCTCAGCGACTCTAGCTTGTTCTATACCAGGAAAGGCTTCCATTGTTATCTTCTACAATTAAAGGAGAAGGTTCAAAACTCGCCATTTAACTTATTCTCACTTCTGACCATTGTATAGCATACTTGAATGATAAAATTTCCATGTGGATCATTGGAGAACCAGTCAAATCCACCTCTTTCGAAAAGGTAGTCAAACATCATTTGACGAACCGCTGGAGAGCTTTTTGCAAATTCTTCTTGCACGAATCTAAACAAACACTAGTAACTATCATATATAATATTAACTCCACCGAATCTATTTCCCATTTTTGCAGAAAATGAAGTACTCAGTATCAAAATCAAATACTTTGTGCAGGTCTCACCGGCTGCCTTTTTCGTCCTTGCCGAAATTTGCAATGCAACCCGATGTCAGTAAATAGAACAATGTCGGCTGCATTAATTCAATATTGTTGTTTAAGCCATAGCTAAAGATATTAGCAATTACACTGAACCGTAAATTTTTTAATCAACGAACAAGTGCAGGGTATTAATAATAAGAAATGTGAAACAAACCATTCGTAGCTATCCCAACATTCACCATTTCTCAATCTGTTGATATGTGACACTTCGCATTGTTGTACACAGCTATCACAAGCCATCTAAAAAGAGGACAGGGAAACGTCTCTATCACCCTACTTCGAAAAAACCCGAATTTTTTTTATACAGAACTCAAAACGTAAAAGGAAATTTTGTAATCTATAACTGACTTGAAGTTTATGTTTATTTTATGATTCAGTTGATGCTTCCTTAGCAATTAAATTTTGAAGATTATAATATCCGAACCAAAGATAAAAACATGTTGAGATCTAGATTCTGAATGAATACAAAGAAAAAATCAAACTTCAAAGTCCAGAGCTGTAGTCTGTACAAGTTATTCTTCACCTGTGTTTGGTTTCATTAATTTTAGTATATAGTTTCTGTGCTTTTAGAAATTCCGACCAGAGTATAACCTTGTAAGGTCGATAGAACAGAACGACGTTAGAAAGTACAAAGTTACAGAATAATTAGGCTTGATCACCAATATCTTAACACAGTCAAACTGCTCGCATTATGGCGTCTTTTGGATGATTGTGTTTAACTTCATCCAGCATGCAGTTCAGTGTTTTCCAGAAAAGTTTTGCATTACGTCAGAGTAGTTGTAAAACGATGCAAAATCATTTATACTTGATTTCTTTGAAGAAAAAAATACAGTTATTTGTTGGTAACTGTTCATTAAGTTCTTACACTTACTAGTTGATGTTCCGCTGGATTTGTGTAGGTGTAACCTGAACTGTCAGTATACTGGTTACAAGGAGAACACCAGTGCATCTCATTCATTCCATTTTCTTTATCACTGACCTGCAAATATTCAAAGAAAACGAATGGAATGTACCTTACAAGGGAGGCATCATTAATCATTATTCTGATTAGAACACGTAAAATAACCGTAATAGATGATATGTTCTGGCAAAGCTGATCTGTAGCAGCATCTGTACTCATTCGCTCTAAAATAATCAATAAAAAAATGAGTAAAAATATCTCTATTCATAATGATTATATTCAAAAGGTTGTATCAGGATGGATTGATTGAATATCAGGAAATAACCTCTGTGAACTTTGAAAGGTCATGAAAGCTAGGGAAAGAGTGTATACAATCTAAACTTTTTCCTACGTTTAGGAATAACTAAAGCGAATTTAGACTTGAGAGATCTATTAATATACCCATACCATATTGCGAATTAATGGCTGATGAGGGCTGGAAATTGTACTGAACTGATGAAATCGTCGTTTGCTGCATTTCTAGTACACCAATTACAATTCCAGCCCTTACGGCTTTAATTTGAAACTGAAATTATGGCTAAGCTTAAAAGCACTGTTGCAATGATAACTTCATATGGCTTTTAAAAGCTTTCTGAATAATAGTTGCTAATAATTCTCAGCATCATCCTTATCCTTGGTCTTAATCACTATGCTTATTACTAGAAAGGCCGCTAATAATGCATATTACACTGGAAGGATGATAAGTGAAGTGCGATAGATAAGTAGGTTAAAGAAAAGAGTAAAGTAGAAAGCACCGTAGCGGAGCTCTCGGGAAGTGTTGAGAAAGTGCAAATGCTACAAGAACTATGAACCGGTCGAGAATTAACCCTTTTGACCTTTATGATCCTCAAGCCATAGACCATATAGCTCGATTAATTTCTACAGTCCCTTGCATAACTAATGAACAGTACATACAGATAAGTTCAGATGGCATCACTCAAACGTGCAAATTATGCGTATTCATTAGATGAAACATAAAAGCGATATAAGTTCAAGTCATACCTAAACTTGCAGTCATGCATGCGATGGGAAAGCGATATTTGCGTGTCATAATCACCAAAATACCTATTTACAACACAGAAGACCGCTTAAACAAGGAGGAATCTCTCCGAGCGGTAACAATTTAGTAGTGAATGTCTACGTGCGGAATATGAATCTACATCCGGGTGTACGTGCAAATTAGAATATTTGGGAAATTCGTGCAAAACTCTTACTTGATTATTTAAAACTGTTTGTTTTCTAATTCCTGACGCAACGCTTTTAACATAAAGTTTAATTTTAAGTCCGTTGTTTGGTGATTTGTTTACCGTTCAGTTTGTTTATGCATGACGAATATATCATACTTCCATTTTCTTGAAACATTTTGGAGGAATGACTCTTTCTAGAAACTTCTCTCTGTAAATATTAAGGTTGAAGGAAGATGCTTCAATTTATGGTTAATCTCTCATCTGATTTGTTTTCTAGTTTCCTGGTGGAATTTCTCTTCAAGTAACCCTTGATTAACTTAACACTATCATACGTCATTTATGTTCGTGGTATGTTAGCCTCAGGCAGTGTTGAAAGTGCACTCAAGGTGATAGTATTTTGATAGGCGAACCATGGATACGACGGCTGTCAGCGGACCTTCTGTCCAATTCAAACAGAACGACACACCACATCCTGAGCATCTTACAGCAGAACTATTCAAAAAGCATAAGAAGCTGCTCCAAAAGGTTTGCATATATCTTGTGTCAAAGAAATTGTTTAAATTTCTAAACTTTATTCAGCTATCAAATTCTATATAAGCAGGATTAACTGAGCTATTTTAGAAAGTAGCTTTTGTGGAAGAGGAAAGAAATCTGTGGGAACATTCAAAAGCAATTCTTGCTCAAAATATCGATGATGAAGAAAATTTGAAGCAGTCACGTCAAGCGTGCAAAGAAATTTCAAAACAGTGTGGTTTTTGATTTAAAATTTTTGTATATTGATAGTGATTTTAATTAATGAAGTTCTTTTAAGGGCTACAGGTCATGTAGTCATCCGATGTCTATTACCAAGCGCTTTTTGGTAAATTATGTCATTATTGAATTCATATTATTAGTAAGAAATCCACTTCAGACTTCATCGCAATGCCAAAAATCTTCAGTTGGTTGAAATGCGTTTTCGGACTGTTTCAGAGCTCATCAAGACAAGTTTGATTTTCCTAATATCTCTACTACGTTTTTCTTGTCTGTGCAATCGAAAAATTCAGAATGAAATGAAATACAAGTCTGTTTCATTGGTTCATTTTACAGTGTAAATTAAATATACACATAAAATTTTTTAAGCCATGGATACAGTGCAGGTGACGAGCAATGTCAATAACTTCAACGTCGAGACTCTCACATCCCGCTTTCAGGCTCTCAAAATTCGCGCTGAAAACGATTGGAAATCTTTGCAGGAAAAATGTATATTCCATATGTTCATGTTTTTTGTAATAATTTATAGATTTTTGTCGACCTCGGAGAGACTTGAAATATCAAACAGTGTTTTATATTTCTTATTCTTGTATATATTCATGGCGAGTAATAGTTCAAAAAGAGCAAAGTTGTGAAGTAAAAAAAAAAATCGGGATATAGTTATCCATACATATTATTTGATTTCGTTTTTTCAGTAGAGCGAATCGCGGGAATTGATAATGCTTTATTTGAACTGCAAAGTAGCCTAAATCATTTATTACGTCATAGAAGCCTGGAAGAACGAACGCAACGTCTGCGAAAGATGCGAGATGATATAGAACAACTGTTGAGAATGGAACAGGAGGAGTTGCTAAATCATGTTACGCTTTTGAAATCGAATCTTGGTAATTAAAATTGGTTAATTTTAAGAAAGTTTGAAAATGTTGCTCAATGTACCCAGTGAGCAGCGTTGACTGGAGCAAATAAATCAACAAAGAAGTTACATGATTTAACGTGTGGAAAACTCATTTCATATTTCATGTGGGGTCAGCTTCCGCTGAAATTTTGTATCACGATGTAGAGAAAAATTCAACAAAGTCACTTCCTAAATGCAAATCTGTTAGTTAAATTATTTTTAAAATAAGCATAGTCTATTTTCGAATGCTGATGCCATTTTCAGAAATCAAAAATTCCGCAAACAAGAAACTTAAACAACAGTCTCGTGAGGTGGAAGCGGAGTTGGAGAACATATTATCGACTGATATCGTTAATATTCAACTTTAAAGAAAAATTGCAATAACAGAACTGATATCAAAATATTTCAAAAGTTATGAATGACGTTTATATTTTATCATTTAATCAGTTTAAAGGAAAATTTGGATGGAATTATGATAGAGGAGAAAGAGCTACAACAACAACTTCACCAATGTTCTCAAGAATGTGATGAAGCTGTTATTGAATTATCGAAATTGAATGAAGAAAATGGAAAAATTGTGAATAAAGAACGGTTGCTTGATGAAAAAGTAAGTGCATTAATTAGGCGAGTCTCTCTAATTTTATTGCTGCCACTATATTTCTAACTTTAACATTTAAAGTACATATAAAATTTTAAATAAATTTGTAAATTCTTATCAAGCTTTATTCAAAGTCATTTTACAGATTATCGTCTTGAAAACAGAATTGGAGAATCTAACAACACTTAAGAGAGATGATCCTGAAATTATTTCTTTGCGGTATAAAAGTATTCGGGAAAATCTACAGGTTTGTTAAAAAGTTTTATATTTTTGCAATCCCATTCACTCCAGCCTCACTGATAACTATAAATATAATAAAACCACAGCATAAATTTTCTTTCGTTCTTAATTCTATGTTATAGGTAAAAATAAATGAAAAAGTCAGTACTTTGCAAGACGAAGCCAAACAAGTGCAAACAGAATTAAGCAGTGGAGAAAATGAATATGCTTCTTTAATGATATTTCTTGGTGATGAGCAGCACGACTGGTCAAAGGAGATTGAAGCTGCCATTGTCACAGGACGACATTTGGAAGAAATGATAACCACAGAAAGACAAGCATCTGCTGCTCTTCGCAACAAGAGGATGGAACTTGATATCGAAGTAATATTTTTTACCAATTTTGAGAGCTAAAAGAATTTTTCAATTGTTTAGAGCACTAGCGTGGAGCTTTTTGCTCATATATACAATATCCTTACGTATGACAATGTAAATATTTTAGAGTCTAAAAAATATGCATATTTTGTCGCAATTTCAAATTTTTGATAATCCACTATTATGATTCCCAGAACTCCAGTATTATTTCCAATAAAATTTTCAAAGCGATGTAAAGACAATCTGTTTGAATTATCACTATTTGTTTAGCTTTTTTAGAATAACATTTTCTCATTTGAAAAAAAAAACTTAATCTTTCTCTCTCTCTCTCTCATTCTCTTTGTTTGTTTTTTTATTTCCACGTGGTTTCTACATATTTCTTATTTGTACGTATCATATACTTTTATTTCTTCATATTCCTACTGTTTTGAGACAGATTTATCCGTTTCCTTCAGCCATTTTTTCATCTAACCATAAAATGTCTAACTTTCGTAATTATGCTGATCTGAATTTAAATAATTTACATAGATCAATTCAGTGCAACCGATTAGAAATGGAAACCAATGCTCTTCGTGAAAGCAATAAGTCAGAAATGATGCAGTATGAAATTGAAATTAACAACCTTCAGAAGTATCTCGGGAAACTAATTGCCAAGGAGAAAGAGGTTATTTTTTTTTTTTTTTGATTTGAATGGTATTTGGTAAATTCATAAAATCCGCTTATGTTAAACTTGTAATTCCTTCGATTGGAATAGCTTTCCGTTCAATATTAGAGCAGTCTTGCAACTTCACTTCTCTCAGATATAGAGAAATTCATACCCTTAACAACAAGGAACACCATATTGCTCAAACGAAAAATTGTTTGCTCATTGCTTTTGTGTTGTCAGTTTTACTTGATGAAACGTAATTTGGTGACTGCTTAAATATAACTTAAATTTAATATGTTTTTTTACTGTCTGCATAATTTGAGGAAAAGAAACGTTATGAAATGATTCGTAGTCAAGCAGCAACTATTCGTTCTGAAAAACATGCATATTCACAGGATGGTTGGTCCTTTTAATTTTAACTGCTTTTCTTACTAAATCGCACTCTTCAAAGGAATTTAAGAAGTTCAAGTTCAGAATATGAGAAGTCTTTAAAAAATCAAACCCAGGCGAAGCGAAAGTTCACTCCCTTTGGTACAGTGAAGTTTGTAACCCGGACACTACTAACTTTGGAGAGCCATCATCAGATGATTTTAATCGAGATGCGGTTTCGCGGCTTACTACAACTGATAATATGACAAGCGTATTGTTTGATAAAGCAAGTTTTGGAGGTGGAGTGTTGGTATGGTTTGAAATTTCTATAAAATTGTTTCAAAGTTTGACTTGACGGACTTAAAACTTATTTTCTAATCAAAATTTGGATTTGTTTTTTGCAGTTTTTATTTCAGATGAGGAAAGTTGGAGATGAATTTGCTGTAGATTCGGAGGGAACGGGAAAAATCCCAAGTGATATTCATATTAGTAGAATGGATAAGGCTGATTCAAGTGCTGTTAAAGTAGTTAAAGCGGATGCAAATGTAGGTAGATTTCAATGATGCTTATAGAAGAAAGCTGAATAAAATATTTTGAAGCTTACACAAATGATTTTTGCCCAGATTATTTTAGTTAGGAGAGTACTACCCGCTACCACCATCTGCCTTTGGAAGCCCGCTGTCAGGAAATGACTCGCGAGAGGTTACAACAGATTGCGGTTCTGAGTTTGATCAAAGTATCTGGTCAGATTTTTCATCAGTGGTGAAGTAAGCAGTATTCGGGAAGATACGTTTTATTTGCATTATTGATTTTAAATAAATTAATTTTTTCACTGTAAATGGTCTTCGTTCTGTTATTATAATGATTATAACAATGCATTAATTTTCCTATTTCGGTTGCAAATGTACTCAATTTTAAAGGTTAAAAATTACATAACTTTTGTTTTGTTGTGTTTACTGTAAGACTTTGCAAGACGAGTTTCATCCTCAATTTTCAGTTAATTCTCAACTGCATTAGGCAAATCCAAATCCTTCAATTTCATCAAGAACTGTTGCTAATTCTAAGTAATTTATTAGATTCAGGTATTAATTTTATTTATTATGACATAAGGCATCATAAAATCTATATTTCTTGTAATTGTTTCACACTTTGGGGAAGCTGTGTCGAGGATTTAAGATGAAAAATAAATATTTAAATAGTTTTAGATAACTTGATTTTTGAGATATCTTTGATTTACTAGTTACTAATTGGCAATCCATTTTGAAGTCTATTGGAATACACTTCTTTCACAATGACTTAAATTTCACAGTGAGAAAGCACCACATGTAAATCTCCTCCTTTGCAAAAAAGTCTTGCAATCTTTCAGTTAGCACTATGAAATTCATGAGTTTTGCCACTGAATACAGGTTCATGAGAGAAAATTCATGAGTTCCCTACATATATCGTTCGTGCTTTTCGTTTGGTTTGAGAGAATAGAATTTCAGCTTTTTTTAATGATGCCACCAGATCTGAATCAACGGAAGTGTTGTCTGCACTAAATAAAATTTATCGATAGTATTTTAAGTTAATCTAATATTTCCAACAGGTGTAAAACTGTTGGAAATATCAGATTACGTCCACATGTATAAATGTGGACAGTACAAAAATATTATTTTGAAAGCTTTGTTATTCTACTTGTACTTGAAATTCGAAATACTTCCAAATTTTAAAATTTGGTTGGCTGAAGAACGTGGAATCAAAATTCTCTGCAGACTTTGCCTATGTTTGTATCAAGATAAATGCTTTTTTTTCTGATTATAATTTTTTTTTTTTGTTTCCATTACTTAGTGAAAACTCACTAGTGATCTGTGATACGGGATACTTCTGAAAAGTTTTAATAAATTGGATGGGATAATAATCGCCAAAGATGAATCCTTAGGATAGTTCGGAAACGAAATTCGAAAACCCGGAAGATTTGCTATTCAAGCGATTTCTGAATTCATCGATTACGGGAGATTTCTATCACAACGATTTGTTAGCGGTCACAGATTGTTTCTTTCTGTTTGTCGTAGTTTAAGTCTATAGTGTAACTGGACTTCATCAACTTCTGATATGACGGAAAATTAAATACACAGCGAATTATTTGCCTTGTTTACTGTATGAATGAGATTCCAAGTTTTTCTTTCAGTGCTCTATAGTATATGTTCAGAAGTAATAGAAAATCAAAGTTCTGATTTGCTGGATTGATACAAATATTAATGCACTATATGATTATATATGATTTGAACGGGTATTTGATAGTATATTTGCAACTAATGTGTTTTGGACAAATATCAGTGCTTAATACAATTCTTAATTGCAGTAACAGACAAGATTCTAAACATTAATTTTTTGACTCTAAATACATGTATACATCGAGGAAACAAATTAGAGTAAGTATGTGACATGCATCAAATTAAGTCAGATTATAAAGGAATGACGGATAAGTCATGTCACCTTGTAAGACAATAGTTATTCCTTCGGTCGCTGCAGGGGTGTCGAAATATTCCCTTGACTCGATTTACTAGCATGTATGACGTCCATCTTTTTTGGTGGTACTGCTTGCATAAGCAGTGGATTAAATGGATCTGCACCAATTGGAGTGAACATCGACATCTCGTGGATTACCAGACGTCTGGAGATTAGAATGTAAGAAAGATTTTGATGCTCATTCCATTTATGATAAAAACGAGGTGAATAGTTAATCACAAACATAAACAGTGCTGAAGTAATATAAAAATTGGATCATAAAGATAAGTGAAAGCGAACATCAAGACAAATAAACAAAGAAAAAAAAAACTTTTGGCCATATCCATGCTTTCCGCGATAAATGCCTTTCAAAGTTCCTGGCAGAGCATTTTGCCGAATCTTTTGTGCTTCATTCAAACCAATCTTAGTAGTGTCTTGTGCCATCCTATTTTTATAAATTTCAATAATTTAGAAGAAATAACAGTAATCATCTCTTTAAAACTGGATGATTTCCTGAATGAAATAACCAACAAAAATCAGTTTCAAAGCATTTAATACCTGGGATCCTTTTCAGGGACTTTTTCGACAAGTAGTACAAATTTAACCACTCGTATAGCTTGCACATCTATCGCTCTTTCAATTGTCATCAGCACCTGTCAAAATTTTTTAAATTAAAAACTTAACTCCTGACATTAATAGTTTAAAAATTGTGTAAATGCAATGCAACGCAATTGTATAAATGCATGTAACATACAAATTTACGGTGTTTGAGTCCTGAAATGACTCGTTCACCGCATGATACAGTTGACGTAACCGGTGTACCATCTACGTCTACAATACAGTCACCCATCAAACAAGCGGCTGATGCTATGCTCATTTGATCTATACTCGTTACATATACCTGAAATGAACTGGACTTATTGTTGGATTTCTAGAAGCTTGATAATGAAATTTTATGTTCCTTACACTGCGTAGTGTTCAACAGTAGAAAAAAAAAAACGTAATATCTTTTCTTCTACAGATTTTCCGCAATATTTGAAAACATCTTTAGTATTTATCAAAAAAGTTTATGCTCTCAAGTCGATAATCAATGCAACAAGAAACAAACTTTGCTGTTATATGATTTAACATTCATTCCCAGATTACCGCCTGGATAAAGGATCATCAAACCCCGAATATAACTATATCCTGGTGCACGATCATATCCTTTTGGTAATCTAGTAGCTGGCGTATTCCATAACGGTCTTCGCAATCGCAAATTAAACTGAAATTGGAAACATGCTTCACTGTTTAACCCGAAAATAAAAATTTGAGACCGTTCACAACCTCCTTGCCGACATCTCGCAATAATTTCAGCTTATCGTAGAATTCTCTTTTACTGGTAATTGGCTCATCTTCAATATGTGTTAAGAAATCGCAGATTTTCAACATTCCATAAAATATTGAATATTCCTCTACTCTAAGAATGAGCAGAGATTTGGTTATAGCAACGCCTACCTGAAAGACTGAGTTATTTATAAAGAGTATTTCAAGAAAAAAATAATAAATAAATAAACAATGGATAATTGCATCATCATGGTATAGGGTTAATCTGTTTGTTCAGATAATTTTTTTTAATATGTTGAAGTTATCGATTGATTTTCAGATTTCCGAAATAGGAAGCACAATATGAGAATAAGGGCGATTTGTAAACTTAATTTCCCTCACTTTTTTGTCTCTCTGATCGAACTTTGCTTGTATGTTTACATCGACAACGAGATCATCTGGTAGTTCACACGGAAATCCCAGATTGTTTTGTATTCGTGAAATTTGAACTTTTGGTGAGGTCACGCTTTTCACGTGTCTTGTCACCAAACTGAAACTTCTCATTTTCGGGTTAAATATGACGGCTTTATTGTAGTCATAATTTTAAGCTCTTTTAATAAGAGTTACTAAAAAATTCTACAATACCAAGCTCTTGATTGTGTCATCGCCTTTTTCACCTTTCGATTAATAGGATGCTTTTCGTCTGAGATCGCTTTCGTTATGCTATTAGATTTTCCTACAGATGTTTTGAACTGCGATGACGGTGAAAATTTGTTGAAAGATGATTGCTTCCTTTGCTTTATATTGTCACTGTCAACAATTTGATCTTCGTTGTTTGATGCTCTATTGTCCGATGATTGCGCTTGTGATGATAATAATGTATTCCGCAAATTTTGGAAAGCTTTCATCTGTGATTGTTATGGCATTACAATTGTAATTATTTGATTTTAAAATTTCGGATTTGCCCAGAAATATTTGAATACTTCAAAATCTATAAAACAAAAAAATCTTTTCAGATTTGACTGAAATTTCCAAAACCTTTTCTCTAGGAGTCAGCTATGGCTCTCAGACCTCTGTGAAAACTAGTTGTCATTCAACCAACTTTGCAGGTAACTTGGATAGAAAACAATTTAATGATCTTTCAAATGTATACCTTTTATACTAAGTGAATCCTGAATTTGCATATAAATCGAGTTTTTAAAGATTTCGAAAGTGTTGTTTAATGATGCAGCATTGGGATATTGCAACCATGTAAACAGCTCGAAAACTGAAAGAAAGATAAGCAATAACGGCATGATCCATGTTGTATTTCTGGCCATCTGGCTATTCCACTTAGTAGCCAACTTACCAAGTTGTCAATAAAGCGGTCCTCAAGACTTCTTAGCCAGGAGATATAACTAGTCTCCAGTCTTGAACAATCTCTACCTTCGTGCCTATTCTCGAGATCAACTTTTTCATTGTGCCATTGCACAGAGCCAGGAAAATCGGGGTTCTCCCGAGTGGCAGGGGGTGGTTAAAGGGTAGAGATGGGGGGGATGAGAGGTGCTCCCTGGTAATATTTCCGGTGGATTATGGACTGGCGTGATTTATAGGAAGCGAAAGGGTTATGCTGATTCTTTTGGGAAACTATGATTACCCGCTTTCTAGGTGGGCAGGATAATTTAAAGGTTAAGGAAACGACTTATTTAATTAACTTGTATTATTCCTTGTTTGTTTATAAGAAGGAAGAAGTGAGGGAATAGCTGGACCGAATATGCGTGAATTTTGCCACCGTTGCCATATCAGTGTTTGTAGAACTTGTTTGTACCTTCCTGCGTCATTTTCCATTGATTATTTATCAACACTTTTTTGTCGTTTTGCATAATTTATTTAGTAATCTCATTTTAAGGGGATGTTAACTAAAAGTACTCCAATGCCCTCAGATGAGGAGCTAATAGTACCTCATGAAATCACTCTTTCAACGCCTTACTTTAAAGCTG